ACAGAGGAGACACCACACTCTCAGGCATGTGTTCTTGCACACACATACACACCCTGATACTCACATTCTCACCCACATACATGTTCACATTCACTTGTGCATACAAATTCATCCACTCTCACATACATACATTCACATGCATATACACTGACACTAACACACACACACACACACACACTTACTTTTTACCTGGGCTGTGTGCTTCAGTTTCCAGGCCTGGCTTTTCAATTTGTGGCTCCCAGCCTGTTCACTGCCCCAGCCCTGCTGCTGGGTTTAGCAATACGCATGTTCAGGCAGGTTCTAACTAGAGAGGCATGTTCAGGCAGGCTGGCCTCTGAGAATGCCTTCCCATACAGTGAGCTGGGGTTGGGGTAGATGCGAGATCTTCCACCACGCCACACAGAATCCTGAGGTGAGATCGCTTCATGGGGCAGGAAAGGTGTGGGTAGGAAGGATGGAAATTATACCTAGATGGAGAATCAGGCCCCTTGGTTGGCTCAGCTTGAAAGTTCCCAAACATGGGGCATCAGAGGGTGCTCATTTCGTTACCTCACTCCACACTTTACCCAGAATCTCAGGCCAGTAGGGAACCAAGCTAGCACTGGCCCCGATCCAAAGCTGCTTCCTCCTTGCCATGATACCCCTCTCATTGACAAAAGTCCTTTTCAGACTGAAAAGGGAGAAGAGAGGAAGGAAGGAAGGAAAAGGGAAGGTAAAGGAAAGGAAGGGAAGGAAGGGTGGGAGTGAGGGCAGGAGGACGGAAGGAAGAAAAGACTTCAGGAAAACAGAAGCTGAACACCCCATGTAACAGTAAGGCTAGGGCTTCTGTAGCATATAACTATTAAGTAGGATCAGATCCTCTTGTAATCAAACATGAGTCCTCATCAGCTCCCCTTCCCTAGTTTCATATGCTTGCACCATGGGTTGTTTTACTCCTTGCTGTGGGATCTGAGAGCAAAAAGCATGACTTCGGCATCACACTAGGGTCTGTGTTTTGGCTCTTCCGTGTGGGTGGAAACAGTTTCACTCATGTGTCTCCTCCCTGATGCTCTGCATCTGGCAGAGCAGTGAATGGGATTAAGTAGGATATGTGTTTAAAGCATCTACCAGAGCTCCTAACTCATAATGAATGGCCAAGATACCATAACCATTGAAGCTTCTTGCTTCTACTTTTTAATTGCATGATATCAGTAATGAGTGAGGCCAAATCAGTATTTATTCAGAAAACAAACGTTGTTCTTCCAAGTGCCTTCCTTCAGTGTCCCGTTGTAGCAGTGGCGTCCTTCTTCCTGTGTTTGCCATTTATTTACCTTGGCCCCTGGGAAGAAGGTGGAGTGGGCTCTGGCTCATGGGCCCAGCGATGCCTGCAGTGCCCGGAGAGTGAGCAGGATGACGGAGAATAGAGAGGCAGCAGTATCATTTCTAGGGCCACTGAGCTGCTGTTGTGTGTTTGCAGCCTCATCTGTTTTGTACTGAGCCCTTGGTTGATGCTTTTTGACCTGTCCCATCCCTGTAATGTTTTCTAAGTATATAGCAGCACCTGTCAATAAATCTGCCCCATCCCTGTCCCAAAAAGCCAGGGAGTTTCACCCCGTACTCCTAGTACATTGAGGGGACAGTGGCAAGTGAATGATGCTCACAGTGGAGAAAGAGAAGGAGACACTGCCTGCCGTCTGGGCAGGCTGGATGCATGCAAAGTAAGGAATCGGCCAGGATGGGCTGAATTCTGTCCCTCTTTGCCTAAGGAATCAGTTCTGAAAACTTTCACAGTGGCTCCCGGTTGAACTGTTCTCCCTCATAGCATCACTCCTTTGGTTGGCGAGGGGAGCAGGACTTGGGGTGGAAGTTGAAGAGAAAGGAATGCAGAGAGAGCAGGAAGAGACAGAGTTTGGTGTTTCTCACCTTCAAGCTCCAACAACTTGCCTTCTTCTTGGGAGCCTTGGTTATTCCAAGCACGCCGTGTGCTCCCAGCAAGCTGAGAACAACTTGACTGGAAATGGGTCGGTGCTCCTACAGCTGGGTCACTCTTCCACTCTCGTTCACTTTGACACTTTTTCAGTGCATTAGAAAACAAATCTCCAAGAAACAAGAATGCAGCTGCGTAGGCGCTATAAACAGCTTTTAGAGCCATACCTTCTCCCCTAATGAGATCCCGTAATGAAAACACACTGTGTATTTGTACTTTCTGTGCTCCTGCAGTGATTTTACAGGGCCGCTCTGTGGTCCTGAATACAGAAACATCTCTGTTAGTACAGATCTGGAATTTAAATGTTCCTGGGAAACCAGATCAATCAATAAGAATGTTCTGCTACATCAGATAGGGTTTATAAATGTGATCCAAAGACTAGCCTATAAAAGCAACGTGCATATAAATCCTTACTAAAGGGGACCTATTCTCATGATAAATAGCTTTCCAGGGTTTCCCATTGTCTCCAGCTCAGTTTTTCCAAGAGGACAAAGCTTAGGAGGAAGGTTTCTAGATCTTTATCTTATAATGCTGTTGTTTATCAAATACCAGAACCACCATTAGCCAGGTGAGCAGCACTGGGGCTGAACATAGATATATAGAGAGGAAATCTGGAGATAAATCCAATTCGGGGGTGTTTTTTATTTTTTTGCCATATGCACTCCTAGAAGAAGCCAGCACTCTTTGTCTACTATTTAGTAATAATTTTTTCTAAGTATATAGCAGCTGTCAACAGTCTCAGGTCTGACTTGCATTACACAGACACAATTGCAAGGTTGAGAAGTAAGAAATCAAGTAGCTTCATTTCTGTGTAACTAAATGAATTTGGTTTCTCTATTCAAACTTCTGAGTGCCTGTGTCCAATGCACAGGTTATAATTAAAAGGGGAAGAAAACTGTGGTTTGCATCTATTCAAAAAAACAGAGATGTGAGTTCTAAAAGCAGCAATGAAAAATAAATTCTCCTGTAAAATACAGTATGTCTCTCATTGTACAGCTGTGCTTCCAAATGAGACCCTCTTTTCCTCCTTTATCTCCTGGGCTCCTGGAACATGTTCTTGGGGAGGAACTCATAGCCCAAACGACAGTGTAGCTAAGACCCACTAATAAAGAACGGCACTGCCCTTTTACACCTGTAGGCACATTTGATGCTTTTTCTTAGTTGTGCAGTTCTACCCTCCCACAGTCTGAGTACAGAAAGAAAGTCCAAGTGACCACGGGCATTCTGTAACACATCTCATTCCAGGAATCTGTGCTTTACAGCCCTCCAGTCCACAGATGTTTGTGTGAGCGGGAATAAAGAAAGCAAACAAGATTGAACACCAGAAAACATTTTCTAAACATGCATCATGCACTATAGACTGGCAGGGTTCCAGGCTTTACATGTATGTAGTATCTCATGCAATACCCACAATACCCCAGAGTACTGTAGTAGGATTCCTCTCATTTTATCGAGGCAGTAAAACTATGTGTGAAAGATACAGCAGCCAGTATCCGGCAGCATTTATGAGTTCAGGGTAGTTCCCTTAATCACTACCCTTTATTAGCAAGAGCTTTCACACAGATTAATGCACTCAACCCTCACAATAACCCAAGGACAAAGTACTATTACTGTTCTCCTTTTTTCTATTGGAGTAGTTTAGGCTGAGGTAACTTTCCCAAGGTCACGATCAGTAAGGGACAGAGCTAGAATCTGAACTCCTTCAAAGTCTGTGTTCTTTCTACCATCCTACTCTGCTTGCACTAGGCATTTGCCATGCACATTTTCAAAGTGAATCAGTACCCAGCTTTGTATTTAATAAGGCAAATGAAAAGAAAACCACTCAGAGGACCAAAGGATATAATTTTAAGATGCTGTCCTTTTACTGAATGGAAAGGGTAGGTGAGGCAGGGTGCCAGCAAGGATGAGAATGGGACTTGGTTTTCAAAGAAAGCATTGTGGGAAAGGGAGTCTGTCACTACATGAGGGATGGAAGACTGTGCCAGGCTGCCGGGAGAAGGAAGTTTGTATCAAATGCAGTGCTAATGGCTGCAAGCAATGGAGAACTGCAGTAAGGAACTTACCTAGGAGTTCATTTTCCCTTATAACAAGAAGTCTCGTGGTGGGAGGGTCAGATGCTTGCTCAGGTGCTCAGTGATGCCAGAGGAACCCAGGCTCCCTCTCTCCCCTCCCCCCACCCCGTACCACACTGACTTTGGCAGCAGACACCACACCTATCAGAAGTCAGGAGCCAAACGAGAGACGCCACACCAGCCCCAGGTCAGCAGAAAAGCAGATGCTTTCTCAGACCTCTCCAGCCCCAAGCTGACTTCCACTGAAGCCCCACCAATCCGCAGTGTATGCGCGACCGCCCAGTGTGGGGGTGGGGGAAACCCAGAAAGAGAGTAGCCTCGGTTAGGAGGTGGGTGTGAGAGCAGTGAGGGCAACAGGGCTGTACTTGAGGGAAGGACAGGGACATCCATGTGGTGACAGGAGGAATGGCGTCCTGCCCTTTGTCTTGTCATTACATTAAGTGGCCCCATGGTGTCACAGCAGAACCTAACCTTTCTTTCTTCATCCTGTTATGGATTCTCTTCATTCTTTCTGTCCCGGTCCCAGACCAACAACCCTTTGGACTAAGTGGTACCAATGGTATGCAGATGACCTGACTCACAGTTTTGTGCTTGTGTATATTTGGAACTCAGGGCCCCGTGCATGCTAGGCAAGCACACGACCTCATTGTTTTTGTGAACTTAGTAGATAATCATCCAATAAATGGTCACTTCATCCAGGGGATGAGGACGTTCTAGGTAGCTATTAGCTGGTGAGGACCCTTGCCGGGCCAAAAGTTTTCACTGCTTCCGAGGAGAAACCCCCCCCCAGCAGCCCCTGTTTCCAGAGCCACATGTACAAATGTTGGCTCAGGGACTCAGCTTCAGACGGGAGGACTCTAAGGAGGTTGATGACTATGGGTCTTGGGAACTTGGCGCTCTGAAAACAACACTATGTGGCCTTGTGTGATTCCAGCTCCATGGTTTCCTTTTTCTCTCTGCAGAGCCAGCTTTCCCAGGCACTGAATGGACTTTCTGACCGGGCCAAAGAGGCCAAGGAGTTTTTGGTGCAGCTCCGCAATATGGTCCAGCAAATCCAGGTAACTACGTGGCCCGAGACAGAGGGCAAACCCTGTGGGCTGATTCGTAGCTGTAGTTGGGGGTTGGCTCTGCTCCGTTATGTTTATGTGTTCGGGGAAAATTCCCGTTTATTTTTTTCCTGCCCAGTCTCTTCCATCCACAGTAATACATGTACAGACCAACTACAGAGACACCCCTTCTTGAAGTGGTGGCCTTTGGCCAACAACCAAAAACACAACCTAATTTTCCAAATGGTCCCTGTCTTCCACACACAGGTCCTGGTTCTCTACTGCCGTGTATTTAGAAAGACCCTTTTCCTTTGTGAATCCAGGTTGTTACCCCTGAGTTTTTAAAACCCTCTGTTCCCCCAAACATGTCACAATCGTTACATTTTATTCGGTAGTAACAGGTCACATCGGCTCTTTCTGTTTTCTTTCTTCCTATTTTCTTTGCTTTCTCCCTGTCCTACAATAATACTTCCCCTCAGTTTAGATCCTTTCCAGCCATGATCCCTTGGTGATCAATCTGCAATTTCAGATTGCTTTATCTGAGCACAATAACTAGCAGGTCAGCCAGCATCTGACAACTCATAACACCCCCACTGCAGCTGAAAGGAAGAAGCCATAAAATGCATGAGATACTACAATAATGACCCTCTCTGCACTGTTTACCATTCTTAGGTTTTGAGGTTTGTCTCACAAAAATACCCTTAACTCTGGCCTTCAGCAGATTGGGTTTGCGAGTTAATATTTAGCCCATGTCAAGGCAGAAATGGATTTTTAAATGTAAGCCAGTCTTTCAAAGCTTCACACACTGATTTCTTTGCCTTTGCCTTTTTTTTTTTTTTTTGGCATGCATGCCCATGTTAAAACTTTTCATTCCCTAACAGCCTAACAGTTTTGTACACTTCCTTCTGTTTTTCAAAGCAATGGAGTTTATCAATCAGCCCTTTCTTTGCTTTTGCTGGCATAAAATGTGCAGCCCCAGGCTTGCCTCTGCCTTGCCTCTTCACAGAGCAGGCTTTCTTTCTGCAACATAACAGTGCCAGAGTCTTCCCAGGGAAGGGAAGCCTTCTCCCCCTGCCATTACTCTGCAGAGGACATAGACACAAGGATGCTTTCCAAGGGCCTTCTCTGAGAACTCAAAAGCAATTGCCGTGAGAGCCAAAATTCAACTCAAAACACCAAGCAAGTTGTTGCTCACACAATTACCAATGTGCACCTAATAGGAAGACCTTGCTTTTGAAATAAAATTGAAAATGCATCAGTTTACTATTATGTAGAGATCCAATCCTTTATGGCTTTGGAAATTAAATTTGATAGGCTAAGTGGCTCCTTTATTGGCCCTGCCCTAAAGTTTACTGTCTACTTAATTAGGTGCAATTTTTAAAATTCTAGTAATATATAGGGGAGTAGTTAGCTTTCATTTACTGTGAATTATAATTTTTGGTTATGATTTAAGAATCAAAATTGGACACACTACTTATTTAAAAGAATATCTTTAATAATAATAAATGTCTATAATCCAGAGAAAAAATTGCTTCAATAATAGATATGTATATATTTACATATATACGTATATGTGAAATTACATATATACATATGTAATTGAATATACATATTACAATATATACAAATTACATATATACATATATGTGAAATATACATATATAAGTGAACTTTTTACACTCAGCATTTAATCTAAACATTGTGGGGAAACTCTAATTCATTTAGTATACAGTTACCTTTCCCTGCAAGTGGTTGTTTCCTACCTGATGTTACAGCAAGGGGGTGCCTGCCACAAATGTTGGGTGCCCCCCACTATGCCTCCCTTAGTGAAATGGGCCCCCACTTTTGCCCTTTATTCTTCCATCTTACAGACTAGTGTTGTCATTGGCTTTATTGTTTAATATTGAAGGCCACTGTCATCCTCTGTCTCTTTCTTCCACTGAATTTCATGACTCATTCTCTCCTCTGCCTTGACCATAACCCCACTCCTCCTGCCCACCACGTTCTGCCATCTACAATGGCCCACGTGACCCAGAGAGACTTGTGTGTCACTGTACACATCAAGGCTTTGTTCTACTTACTATCATACAAACTGATGATCGCCTTTTGGTAGAATGAATTTATACAACAAAATCTTATCCCTTTTGATCTAACTTTAAAGCAAAACATGGCCACCATAGGATGACGTGTATCCAGGTATCGAGTTGGATACTTGCAAATACCCTAGTGTGCTTTGTGGACAGGGCTCCCTGCTGATCCCTGTGGTGGGGACAGCTGCCCCACATGCAGATCTGTTTGCTCCCACCGCCTTGTGCCTGAGCCATGTGCTCTCTCACACAGGAGAACAGCGTGGAGTTTGAGGCCTGTCTAGTGGCCCAGTGTGACGCCCTCATCGATGCCCTCAATAGAAGGAAAGCACAGCTGCTGGCTCGGGTCAACAAGGAGCATGAGCACAAGCTGAAGGTGAGTGTGGCCCCTGGAGGGGACGCAGAAAGCCACGTGCCAGGCTCAGGGCCAGATGGGTGGGCTGGAGGAAGAGGGGACAGCCCGTCCTGGACAGGAGGGTACGATGCTCCCAGCCTGAGATCTGGCCAGAAGGAGGCGGGTGCAGCCCTCATCTGCCTCTCCTGCCCTCATTTTCTGACCCAGTGTGCGTTGAGTGACTCTGGGTTCTGGTCTAGGTACAACAATAATAAATCCAAATCCCTGCTTTTTTATATTCTACAAGAAGGACAAACAATAAGCGAGGTAAGTAAGTAAAATGTAGTCGTGTTGGTAAAAAGTGCTAAGCGGAAGAAAAAAAAAGGCAAGAAACAGGGATGGTGAGTACTAGAGATGAGGGCTGAAATTTCAGATGAGGTGTCCAGGGTGGCCACGCAGAGGCAAAGGTATATTTCTGAACAGGGAAATGCAATCTGTATTTTCTAGAAAATAAAATTTATCTTAACTTTTGAAGTGAACTTTGCAACTGGACAGCAGTACAGACGTCTGTCACCACTCGGTGGGTGAATTTTACTAATTATAAGTCTGGGGCCCCAGTGGCAGGTTGGTCCTCTGGAGACATCTGCTGTCCCTTCCATCGCCCCATGGGAGGAGGGTCGTGAGACATGAGAGCAAGGGTCAGTAGGTGGAGAGGTGAAGCCGAGGAACAGAGCAGCAGGCAGTCAGTGGAAGGCCACACGCGAGCTCAGCCAGTGGTGGCTCCAGTGGGTGGTGGTGGGAGGATGGGGTGCTGTGTGGGCCCAGGGTTAGGGTGGGAGAGGCGAGGTGAGGCCAGAGGTTCCCTGTTGAAGTCCGGCAGTTAGTATCATGAGGTCCAGTCCCAGAGTGGGCTAAACCATGGATTCACAGGCCAGGAAGTGCAGGTATCACCTAGCAGGTCTGTAACGGGCATGGGTCCCTGGCGAACAAGAGAAGGCCTGTGTGTAAAGGATGAGGTCTTGTAAGTGAGCCAAGGATGAGTTTCAAGAATGAACAAAGGAGAGGACACTGCTGGCAAGATTTGGGGCTAAAGCTTGGCAGCAGGGAAGCTTTGAGCAGGGCCCAGACCCAGTTTGTGATTATCAGATAGACACCGAGCCAAGGAACCAGTATGAACTGGGGCACCAGGCCTGGACAAAGACCAGCAAAGCCCAGGCCTGAGCAGCAGGGCTGCTGATCATTATGTGCCCCGCCTTCATGCCGGGACCCTGGGGCCCAGGGAGCTCTGCTAGGAAGTCAGGGAGCCAGGAAGCACACTAAAGAAAACTTTCCCCAGGGAAGCGTCACTGTTCATTCCACAGAACAAAACCCAACTGTGGCTTCCTCCCCTAAGGCTCCCGCCTCCACAGCCACCTGCAGCGCTTCAAAGCACATTCAGATTCACGCACCTGCTTCTTCCGCAAAGGAAGGGCGGTAATGTGGAGGCTGCACAGACCTTTCCTTCCTGCTTTTGTGAGTTGCCTGGCTGTCACAGGGGAAGGGAGGGGAGGCGGAGAAATGAGGCAGGCAAGAGACTAAGCTGTGGCAACAAGGTCCAAGCCAGAAAGGGCTCATGAGGCCCGCACCCCAAGGTGCAATTTGCCAGCCTGACCTCCAGCTGTTGTTTGTTGATGTCATGCCTCTTGGGTGTTCCTGACAATCAGCAGCATCACAGTTGTGTCTAGGAGAGGCCTGTGGATTCCTAGACAAAGAAAACTGTATAGTCTAAAATTGGAAATAGGAACCATATATTGGGAATGCAAATGCCCAAGGCTGTAATATTCAAAGAGCCCTAGCCTTCTTGTCTGGGCAGCAAACAAAAGCTGATGACCCTAATGATCCTTCCAGAGGGGCCATTAATGTGCCCTAGTGATGCATCTCATAGAAGCCCTTCTCAGGCTCACCTTAGAATGAAATTAGGGGAGAGGGCAGCACGCCAACCTCAGCTGTGTGGAGCCTTCGAACAGGAACTGGGGGTGATATGTGGCTGTTATGGTTTGTGTCTGAATGTCCCCCCAAGTCCTCATGCAGTCATGGTGCGGGCTTCTAGGATTTGTGATTGATCCATGATCTAATGCTGGGATTATGGGTGTGAGTGCTACACCTGCCCTGGGGTGGGTAGTCGGCATACAATGTTAGGGAGGGAAAGAGGCTGCTTGCCACCATTCCTCCCTTTGCTCTTGTTTTTACTGTGTTGTGCCGCCATGAATGCTTGCCTTCTGCCATGTGCCACTCTGCCTTGTATAGCCAGCCAAGTATGGACTGAAACCTCCATAAACTGTAAGCAAAATAAACCTTTCCTTCCTTCATTTTTGGTGTTGGGTATCTTGTCTCAGCAATGAGAGAAAAGCAACCAAGACAATGGCCTTGCACTTTCCCAGGAAGATAGCCCCATGGCCCGTGCATGTGTAAGCCACAAAGTGCCCATGATGGGGGGTTTTACTAGGATGGGTCGCTCCAGATCCTCAGTTCTAGCCCATCTCCCAGTATCTATGATCCATTTATTTGCCTTTGAACTCCTTAATGAGCCACCAGCTGTGATTTATGGCAACTTGTGCATAATTTCTAAAACATAGGGGAACTTGAAGGTGCTATTAAAGGTACTTACGAGTTCTCTGAAAGTTTCTCATGGAACACCAGTCTTATAGATTTACCCACAATGATCAAGAAAATGTTTCTACCCCAGAAAGTCTTCTTCCAAGGTACTCAGGTTAGGTCCCAATGAAAATTCTTTTCTAGAGCCAACGTTTTTAAATCCAAATTAAAATCTGGAAAAGCTGTGACATGTGACCCTGCAGTCGCCCAGGCAGTAACACAGAATGGACGCCTGTGGTGAGCAAGTCTCAGCTTTGATTATAGCAATAGCAAAAGTTTGAGGACACTTTCTTTGAGCTAACACTGCATGCGGTATGATAGAAAAATTATTTAAATTTTTTAAAATTACACTAAAGACACAACCATTAATCCCCTTCAAAATATCCCCCCTTGCTTCAAAAACACATATCTTGCCATTGTCCTTACCATTTTCTGAAGCAGCTTTAGAAGTCCTCTTTTGAGTATCTAGTTGTTTTATCCTGACTGCCTCAATGTCCTGAATCCATTTAAAACATTTCCCTTCCATGGTCATTTTCACTTTGGGAAGAGCCAGAAGTTGCACGCTGCCAGACCCAGTGACTAAGGTGGCTGAGGACACAGCATAATATTTTTACAAGCCTGTCTTTCAGTTGGATGGCACTTAGCGGGGACAGCGTCCACCATGTTTTTCATCACACCTCATAAAGACAGGTGTGTCCTGTCATCAGCCTGAGGACCCAGTGGATGTTTTCTGTCCTTGTTGCCTGCTCTAACATGGCTACAAGACTGTCACCCCAGCCCTTCATTTTAGCACTCTTCAGAAAAACAGAAGGTACACTGATAGCCATCCTCTGAATATCATTTGAGTCCTGTATAGCTGTGTAAAACGAAAATGTACGCGGCTTTGGGAGATGAACAGGACAGCTGGAGCTTTCCCTGCTAACCAGTGCCAGAACCACTTACATATCTAGCCAGAAAGTTTAACTTTTTCTCAGTGTTCATCGCTAACGCTTTCTGGCCCCAGCACACCAAAGCATTGCTGGGATGCCACGTCCTGGGACTGTCCTCGTGGCCTCCCTTGAGGTCCATCGGTGTGGGGTGGGCCACCCAGCAGGGCCGCCTGATGCACAGGTACCCGCCTGCCCTCACTCCACCCTGCCCAGACCTCAAAGGACCACAGAAAGGAGAGGCAGGTGGCTGGTTGTCCCCCACGGCAGCAAAGCTGTTCTGTCTCCTGTCTCGAGCGATTTGTTTCCCTGCTGTTTCCAGAGGACTGTATCTGTCACTGCTTCGAAAAACAAACAGCGAAAGCCCTGCTGCCCCCGCCAAGACTACTGATAGGGGCCTCCGTGGCTCCCCTCCCTCTTCTCCTGTTCCCTGTCTTTTCCCTTTCTTGTCACTTTTGTTGCTACTGAGAATTGTGCAGAGAGACTGGCCTTTTGTAGACATCACTTGCCAAGCGCTGTGCTTTTTCCTGCCTTTGTTGTCTAACCCGCCATCGCGGCCCTGCAGTGTTCTTAGGTTCTTCCACTTCCCCTTGGCTGCACTGTCTGGGGGCGGCCTTTTGTTGACAAAGGAGACATTGTGTGTGTGTGTGTGTGTGTGTGTGTGTGTGTGTGTGTGTGTCTTTCTGGCAACTTTCTCTCCTTGAACAATTGTGCTGGAAAGTGAGTGTGTATTTACAGTCTTTGTAATCTGCTCACGTCCCTCCTATCTGAGAGCGCAGACCCACAGCTTGAATACATCTACTGGTTCTGGTTCAGGGGCAAGCTGGGCCGGGTGAGGAGGACCCCAGATTCTGCGTCCTAGAGACCTGACCGAGAGGTCACACTTTGTCACTCCCTAGGTCTCTAACTTTGAGCAATTCTATGGCTTAGTTTATTTTATCTGTGTAAAATACAGCTAAAAGTAGCTCTCACCTATAAGGTGTTGCAAAGCTCTTAGCACAGTTCTCAACTCATGTTAGCTCTTGTTTTTGCTAATAGTTTGAGAGAAGATAACTGGAAATTCAGTTTCAGTCAACACACTGAAGAAGTATTTCTGGGAACTTTTCCCCATAATACCCCAGTGTGTAGGGTAGAATTAACCCCTACACTGATCTTATTATCTCTGAATCTGAGGGGTTCTTTAGCAATCTGAGTTTATAATTGATCGTTCCCTAAAATACTTCCCAAATTTCGGTGAGCTATTAAAATAAAAGAAAAAAAGCAATAAAAGCTTTGAGGGATATGCAGAAGTGGTCACATTTTAGTACTCCTGCTTGAAATGTAAATTAGAGTTACTTCTATTCTGTGGTTTGAAAGTAATACTGGGAGCGACAGGTCTATTTTGGGGATGTCATGAATTAAAGCAAATATCAGAAAGCTACTCGATGGGGAAAACGTTTTTAATTTTCAAGAAACAGCACTGGCTTGTACTTGGAATTACAT